GAGGGTCGCTGTTGGATTGAGTGGACGAGGAGGTGAATGCTCGAGAAAGAACCGCGTAGATTTGAAACACGGCCGCGCTCTGTAAATGTCATCCACCAATCAATGTCGGGCTTGAATCTCAATCTTTCGTTAGATAAGATCATAGGTTAAAAATGAAAAACAGAAGTAAGATTGAAAGTACGATCTTTGTTAATATTTACGATGTTTTCAAATAGTCTAAACATGGTTTTCAAATTAGGGTTTCCGTTTTAATTCCGTAGTATAGGCTCTGTTTCCTTTGAGATTCAAGTCTGAGCACTGCTTCCCATTAGAATGTATGCACAATGGTATAGGCTTTGTTTCCTTTGAGATTCAAGTTCCAGCACGGTTTCCAGAAGAATATTAAGACATTGGAAAGAGAAGGCAGCTTTTCAGAATGCGAGCAAATAGTCATCAATGGCACTCTAAAGCCAGTTGAACGAAAACTAGCCGAGAGAGATCCCATTTTGGGTGCTGGCTACCGATCGTAAGCGTTGAAATCATCAAATTTCAACGTTCGTCACAAAATTGTCGAAAAATTACTTCTGCAACTAAGTTTTTTTCAAACGGCCCAACTAAATTTTCCAAATTAGGGTTTCAGTTTTAATCTCGTACATTCACTGAGCTCACTTTCTTCGATATTGAAGTCCGATCCTATTTGCTATAAACTAACTTCTAAAAATAAGAGAAAATATACTGCAAATTAACTGCAGTAAACAAAATATATTATATAAATATTTTTATATCTTAAATCAAATTTGATGACATCATAAAACCGACCTGAAAAGTGATAGAAGCGAACGGAGCAGACATGCCTCTATAAAGACCAACGGGGCCATCATTAGCAATGATATTACGAAAGATTTTGAAAGCAGACCCAGAAACGGATTGTTGTTGCCTAATACGAAGAGTATCAAGTGGGTAGCCGGAGATAATGCCGGCGATGCCACCGAACCCGCCGGCGACAAATTCTTTACCCCAACTGCTTGCAATGAACTCCGGCCAGAAATCTGTTACAAGAGCAGTCCAATTGTTGTCGGAGTTCATGTCGGAGCTCAATAATGAAAAAGACAGGATTTAGAACGGTGTGTTCTTGTTTTTTTTTTTTTTTTTTTTGCATGGAGAGGTGAGGGAAAGAGAATGCACAAATGTTGCCTCCCCTGTATGATAAAAGAGAGAAGGATGAATACGACAATGACCAACAAACTGTAGGGTCGAAGATGGAGATTATATTTTTCATATAAATATTGGTATTTATTTATTATTAAAGTTTCCGACTATGATTTTAATATTTAATGTATGAAATATCATGTTGTAACATTAAATTTTAATTTTTAAAAATTAGGGTGAAAAAAAATATTATATTGAAATTAAAAAAAAAAAAAACCCTTTTTTTTTGGTAGAGTATTATATTGGGTTTTTGTGTAATATTAAATTTTGATTTTTAGAAATTATCTTTTTAAAAAGTATGGATTTTTTTTTTTATAAAAAAACATGCAAAAAAGAATTTTGGTATAATAGTATATTCGATTTTTGTTGATTTTTAATTATCTTTTTTAAAAAATATGGAATNAAAAAAAAAATGCAAAAAAAAAAAAAAAAAAAAAAAAAAAAAAAAAAAAAGTTTGGTAGAATACTGTATTGGAATTTTATTATAATATTAAATTTTGATTTTTAGAAATTATCTTTTTTAAAAAATATATGGAATTTTTTTTATTATTTTATAAAAAAACGTGAAAAAAAGTTTGGTAGAATACTGTATTGGATTTTTGTTATAATATTAAATTTTGATTTTTAGAAATTATCTTTTTTTTTTAAGTATGGAATTTTTTTTATAAAAACATGAAAAAAAAAGTTGGTAGAATATTATAGTGAATTTTTATTGTAATATTAAATTTTGATTTTTAGAAATTATTAGTAGAATATTATATTTTATTTTTGTTTACATTTTTTTTTTATAAAAATAATATTATTAAATGAAAATAATGTATTAGAAAAGTTGATTTGAAAGAATATTTTTTTAAAAAAATAAAAACTCGAGATACCAAAAATAAATAGAGAATTTTGAAGGGATTAAGATGGGTAAGGCATTCTTATCTCCGCTATGTCCCGTGTATCTATACATATAAATATATACCTATAGATTTGAAATTTGAAATTTTAAATTTAAAAAAAGAATTAAACTCATTTTTATATATATCCTCAAAACTAATTTTAAAAAGGGAGTAGATGTAAAATAATTTAGAATGGAATTTGATAAAATAAAACCTTAATTTAGAAAGGGAAAAAACCCTAAATTAGTTGCTAAAAATGAAGATTGTAAATAAAAATAATAATAATAATGAAATTGAAAGATGCCAAGTAGCATTGCACTAATCCCATTTTATCATGTTTTAAGTAAGATATTAAATACTAAAAATGATTTTTAATTTAATATTTAATCTTTTAAAATTCTCTATATTTATTTTTAATGTATTAAAAGACTGCAACTAAGTCCAAGTTGCAAACGAAGTCTTTAAAAATACCATTTTCTTTTGAAATAAAATAATAAAATATTTACTTCTCTTTCTATCTATTATCCTTTCTTATCCTCACCAATATTGTATTTTCAAATTTAACGAGACACTCTTTCCCGTCATTCTACCGTGCGAGCGGAAGACATTTGAGAAGGGCTTTTTTTGATCCGATATTTATAAGATCGGATATTTATAAGATCGGATATTTAATAGAAAACGACAACTATACATAATTCTAATATTTATAAGATTAGAAAGTTGGACGATCGAGTGTGAATCTTATGGTTAGAAACACGAGGTTTCAAGACAAACTATTTAAGTTATATATGACAAATGACATATAAAGTAAATGGTATATCTGGTAAAGATATTTAGAATCACATGAACAGTATACTCTATTATGTATCCTTTGTTACTGTACTTACTTGTACTTGAAGTCATAAACATTTAACCATTATTGTTTATTGCTCTTTGCTTTTTCTACCTCATATTCTTTATGTTTATCTATCTCAACTGTGTGCGTTGTGTGATTCTCGTAAATCCATTTTAGATAATACAGATAAAAAAAAATGTAAATTTACATTTAAAAAAAAACTAGATCATAGGGAATAACATACTTTTTTTTTTTTTTTTTTCAGAATAACTTTTTATTGTTCATTCTCTATGTCCCATCCAACAGTGAATTAGTAAATCCTGAGGTTTTTTACCAATGGGATCATCCTTTTCACATCTTTATCTTTTCTAATGTTCTTTGGTTTTTTTTAAAAGATGTCAACAAAGTGACCTGCAGTCACTTTTCGAATTTTCGAATGAGAGATTGCCCGGTAGACTTGGCAAGAGACTTAAGGAATTTAAAATTCAAATACAATAGTAAATCTTGACATAAAATTCAAATATCGATATAATATGATGACCATGTTTATGCCATACGAGATATCATGATATAAAATGTATTGTCACTATGTTCAAAATGTCCTGAACATATATGTTCGTCTTGTAAAGAATTCAAGATTCAACTTCATGCATTTTGTACGTTTATTGCTCATGAATTACTTTTCTACCTACGTTATGGACGGACGTGTAAATCCATGTTATTATTCAATTTCATTCCTCTTTCGTTGGTTTTCAACCACGTGAGTATGTACTTGCTCATAGTTAGACCTAAAGGCATGTTAATAAGCCCGCCCAATAGGACTACATGCATTGAGTATAGACTATATGTGTAGAGAAGTATAATAGATTCAATCCTAATGTGTTTTTTCAACCCTAATGCTTTTGTTAGCATAAAACTGGACTGAATGATATCGCATCTTGGCAATAAAAAACACTTGGAACTCAATTGATAAAACCCCACAGATGGGCTCCCAATCAACAAGTATAAGAGAAATTCGGTAATGGCGACTGGGAGTGAGAGCTTTCGGTGCTGCTGCTACTGCTTTGTAGTGCTTTTTTTTTGGCAGAGTTTTCCCACTCCCAGTCGACACCGCACAATGCACTGACACAAGGCCAAAAGCTAACAATTGGGTCTCAGTTAATTTCAGCCCCCGGCAGCTTTGTGCTTGGATTTAATACCACTTATTTGGGGATCTCCTACAACACTAAGCACCAGAAGCCGGTATGGATAGCCAACCGAGACTCTCCATTTCCCAACAATTATGTGTCGATCAGCCTCACCATCGACGCCAACGGCAGCTTGAAAATAGTAGATGGCCATGGCTATTCCTTTTCGCTCTACGATGTCGAACAGCCAATCAGTAGCAGATGTCGAACAGCCAATCAGTAGCAGTGCCGTGTTGCAAGACGACGGTAACTTTGTACTGCAAGAGCTGAACCAAGACGGGTTGGTGAAATGGGTGGTGTGGCAGGGCTTTGATCATCCAACGGACACTCCAGGAATGAAACTTGGAATCAATCATAAAACTGGGTATGCTTGGTCTTTAACATCTTGGAGTAGCGATGAATCTCCTACGTCAGGAGCTTTCGCTCTAGCAATGAATCCAAACAATACTAATCAAATACAGATATTGTTCAGGGGTGGCGTGTATTGGAGCAGCGGGGAGTGGAAAGACGGTTGGTTTGAAAATCTATCGGAACTCGACTACTATAAAGAAATCTATTTCAACTGAGTTTCGAATGAGAATGAAACGTATTTCATTTACTATGTCCCCAAATTCGATTGAACGCCCAGCTTCAATCGACTATCAGAAGTGGTTCTACCCAAGTTGAGATTAGCAGATGGTGCCACTTTGGAGATGAACAATCGAATTTCTTACGAGATTTGCACGCTCTTCAATATGGAAGAAGGGTGCGTGTGGAGAAATCAGCAGAAAATGGCAGAGTGTGGGCGTAGTTCCTTTTGGTGGATCTCTGGACACATGGAAGTGAGAACCTAACGATGTTCGAATGCGAAAATATTTGCCCTCTTGATTGTGATTGCGTCGCTTATGGTTATGTGAACCAAGATGGAAGCGGCAGTGAGATTTGGAAGTCAGGAGCAAAGGTTAGTTCATTGGGAGGAGGTCCACAACGGATTTATGGCTATGAAAAAGGTAACTAAGACGAATTGTGAACTCTATTTTTTAGTTGGTCAGACTAACTCAATAAGGAAAAAAAAAAAAAAAAAAAAAAAAAAAA